ATACTAATGATGAACAGGCCAAGCCGTAACATTCCCAAAGCTGTTCTGGCTCAGATGGGCGTCGGCTTTGTCACCGGTATCTTCTACATGATGGCCATTTTCTATTCAATCACCGATCTCGACGCAGTCATCAATAGCGTCTACGGATTCCCCCTTGCCGAGATTTACCGTCAAGCAACAGGATCCCGGGGCGGTGCAATCGGTCTGCTTATCGTGGCTTTCATACCCACAGTCATCACTTGCGCTGGTTGCTACATCACTGCTGGTCGCACCTTGTGGACTATCTCTCGTGACGGAGCAACTCCTTTCTCTCGCTGGCTCGGACATATCAACACGCGGATGCACAACCCCTTCAATGCCACCCTGGTATGCGGTGGCATTGTCACTATTCTTGCTTGCATCTACGTCGGATCCACCACTGCCTTTAACGCTTTCGTTGGCTGCTTCGTGCAGCTGTCCAGTCTCTCATATTTCGCCGCCATCTTTCCGCATATGCTTACTCGCCGGTCCTCGTTTGCACCCGGTCATTTCTGGATGGGCCGTATCGGATATCTAGTCAACCTTTTGGCATGCATCTACATTCTCGCTTTTGTTGTGATCTTCTGTTTCCCTTACGCCCTGCCCACCGATGCCGCTTCAATGAATTACGCCAGTCTGATGACTGGAGGCTTGACGATCTTCGTGTCTATCTGGTGGCTTTTCCGCATGAACACATATGAGGGGCCCAAGTCTATTCCTATGACCGACAAGGTGATTGTGGCCGACGCGGACTAAGCGTTGTTAGATTAGGAGGATGTTTTTGGGTTATGAACATACTATAAGGCGCATCAGACCGAGCAATGTTGTTGGCTTATCACTAAATGCTGTGCTCTATCTGACGCACATATATCTAGAATAATATTTATGAGCTGTATATAATCTTGACACTGATTCGGTTCGAATGCAATGCGTTGACCTCCGTAGGTGGAAAAACACCGTGCTCAAAAACCAATGATTATGTGAGAAGCTTTCCAAAGCTTCCATAAAAGACTGAATCCAATGTAGACAGTGTAGATGCTATAACATATAGACTCTACAAGGCACGGCATGCCTTACTGCCGTAATAGGCAATAAGCACTGTATCATCACGTGATGTCGCGACACCCGCGCGTCTCGAGGCTGTCGCGTGCAGCAGAAAAGACTCATCAACTCCACGGTGCAACTGTCCAGCAGAAAGCATCAGGAACCATCAATCGTGATGGTTTTCAAGCCATTTAAGCCTCCTTCTATGAGGAAGCCCCTTCAGCCTACCGTTTCGAGACCAGCTGTGCCAACTGAGACTTCCGAGGCTGACGGCCGTCCAGCTAAGAAGCCGCGTTTACAGCCAGAATATCCGGCAGATGTTGAGAACACAACTCCGGCCGTTGGACGACTGGTGAAGCCTGTAACTCGACCCAGGAAGGATGTGGAGCCCTCAGTGGAATCAGGAAGCCCTGGTGATGTCTCTGGAGATAGGTATTTCAATGTCCTATGGTACGTGCAGTCTATCCTGTTATATTCGGTCCTAAGATGATAGCTATGGAGGCTAACGAGCTGTGAAGGCGCAAAGTCACTACGAAGAAGAATAAAACGTGGGATGGCGACGGGGTCCTAACATTACGCGATGGAAACGCCTACTTGCAGGATGTTTCCGGAAGAGACATGGGACGGGTGATGTATGGCTCCCGCCTCGAACCTGGTGTTATGCTATCGATCGGAGGCAAGGAAGTGGAAATCGATTCCGAAATGTCTAAGAAAGAGTACTTGTCTGGTCGTCAGTACCTGCAAGCGAAAAAGGCGCCACCTCCTTCGACAACGCCGCCTACCAAAGCGTTCGTTCCTGTTCGAAGCAGTACTGGTACTTCTGCTTCGACGACTGATGCTAAGAGCCAACCGGCAAAGCCTAATGTACCAATGCTCGCCAACCCTGCTTCGAGGAAAGGAACAGTCACTGGCACGTACAAAAGGCCGTTGTTGGACAGCACTGTTTTGCCGCCCACACCGTTGGAGAAGCCTGTTCCACGCCATGATCCTAGTCAGCCCGAAGCGCTGGTCATGAAACGACCGGATTCGGTGCCAAAGGGTAAACAAATTGTTGATGTTGTCGTCGATCCGTTTCTGGCTAAACATTTGCGACCTCATCAACGCGAGGGTGTTCAGTTCTTGTATGAATGTGTTATGGGAATGAGGTCTTTCAACGGTGAAGGAGCTATTTTAGCAGATGATATGGGATTGGGGAAGACCTTGCAAACCATAACCCTCTTGTGGACACTTCTGAAGCAGAATCCAGTATATGACAGCCCCCCGGTCGTTAAGAAGGCTCTCATTGTTTGTCCGGTCACTCTAATTAATAATTGGAGGAAGGAATTTCGCAAGTGGCTTGGAAATGAACGAATTGGAGTTTTTGTCTTCGATGATAAGAGGAAACGACTCACTGATTTTACGAGAGGAAGGGCTTACAGTGTGATGATTGTGGGATATGAGAAGCTTAGATCGGTGCAAGAAGGTTTAGCCAACAGCAACGGGGTCGACATCATTGTTGCCGATGAAGGTCACAGACTGAAGACGCTTCAGAACAAGAGTGGCCAAGCTATCCAATCTCTGAATACGACAAAGCGAATCATTTTATCCGGTACGCCCATTCAGAATGATTTGAAGGAGTTCTTTGCCGCGGTAGACCTTGTCAATCCCGGCGTCTTGGGAACTTTCAAGTCGTTTGTTAGGGAATTCGAGGGCCCGATCGTCAAGAGCCGACAGCCCGAGGCGACTAGAAAGGACATAGAGAAGGGAGAGGCGAGGAATGAGGAGCTCCGAGAGCTCACCTCCAAATTCATGCTTCGAAGAACAGCCGATATCCTGGCCAAATATCTCCCTCCGAAGACGGAGTATGTGCTATTTTGCAAGGCGACGCGCACGCAAGCGACCATCTACCAGAACGTCCTCGCCTCCCCAGTTTTTCAAAGCGCCCTCGGAAACTCGGAGAGTGCTCTCCAACTTATCACTATTCTCAAAAAGCTCTGCAATAGCCCATCTCTGCTTACACCCAGAGATGTGAATGAGAAGCCCAGCGAGACCATCGCCGCTCTCTTATCTTCTTTACCACCGAATCTCCTACGCCACTTCACTCCCTCATCAAGTGCCAAACTCCGTGTCCTGGATCAGCTACTCGATGGTCTACGCACAAAGACCTCGGAGAAAATAGTCCTTGTCTCCAACTACACTTCTACCTTGAATCTACTAGCAAACCTACTTACATCTCTCTCCCTCCCCTTCCTCCGCCTGGACGGCTCCACCCCCGCTCAGAAACGACAATCACTAGTGGAGGACTTCAACCGCCTCCCATCGAACCTCTGCTTCGCCTTCCTCCTGTCCGCAAAGGCTGGGGGTACCGGGCTCAACCTCATAGGTGCCAGCCGACTCGTCTTATTCGACGTGGACTGGAATCCCGCCACTGATATCCAAGCCATGGCACGTATTCATCGTGATGGCCAAAAGCGTCACTGCCGAATATACCGCATCCTCCTCAAGGGCAGCCTCGAAGAGAAGATCTGGCAGCGTCAAGTAACCAAAATTGGGCTCGCCGACAGCGTCATGGAGAAGAGGGACAGCGTGGCCCAGTTTTCGCGGGACGAGCTCAAAGACCTGTTCCGTCTGGACGAAGAAAGCAAGTGCCAAACACACGAGCTATTAGGCTGTGACTGTGGAGGTAACGGACAAATCGTCCCACCAACGGCGACCGAGAACGAAGACGAGGAAGACGACCACTCATCCTCAAGCTCCCTCGAAGACTTCCCCGATCTACCTACCCTCATTAAAGCCTCTCAAGTAGACATGGAGAAGCAAGAGCGTCTAATCCGATCCAGATCCAGATCCCGACCCACAACTCGCAGGTCGAGGGCGGGGAGGTCCAAAAATGAGGACGACGATGAAGACGAAGATGAAGGCGACAACAACACCGAACCCGCGAACCAACAAAAGAACCGAATCCAGCAATCCCTATCACAATACTGTCACATCGACCCCGTCCATCTCACCGCCACTGATACAGATACCGCCGAACTAGTCGAATCAACCATCGACGACGATGTGCTTCTCTCTTTGCTCAAAGACGAGGACAGTAATAGAATCGGATATGTCTTCAAAAAGGCCAGCACAGCAGCAGCTGAGGCTGAGGCTGAGTCTAAGACGAAAGAAGATGGCAAGGACGGGTCTTTGGCGTCTTCTTCGGTTGTGGTTATTCCGGATTCGGATTGATTCATATGTCGACTTCCTACGTACACATACACATGTACTCATAGAAGCGCATACATACCGACATACACATAGTATAGTTATACGAATAGATGCATGCATGGGCTAAGTGGATCTTAGTGTTTTTGTGTATATAGAAGTATGCAATTGGGATTCCTATTTTCCATTTCTTGATACTACGGACTTGTATTTGCACGGATATACAGAGTCTAAATATGGTAGAATAGTATTGAGATTATGAAATACTATGTTATTACAGTGCCGGCTTGAAGTTGAGCATGTGTGGTGAAGAGAAATAAATCAGTGAGGCCTGAAAAGGTATAGTAAGAGTAAGGAAACATTAATGTGACTTGAGTAATAGTATAATGGGGATGAAGTTCGGTATAGGATTTCATCAGACTCTAAGATTTGCATCGCACATTCGCAGTTCGTCTTCCGGTTCATATACACATGGGCATCTGAAAGTTCGTGAAAAGGGGGGAGGGCTTGCAAGAGGAGGAGATATGGGGAAATGGAAGATAAAAAAAAAGGAAAAGTAATGAGAGAAATAAACATCAGCAAGAGGGGGTATGAATATGCACATGAAACAATAACAATAACACCTGCAGTAAAATATAGGAACATCGCTAAAAGTCAAATGCACGAACGAAGGGACATGTTCGAAAAATGGAGAAAGAAGGTTAGAATGAGTATCCGGGGTTAGATATCATTTTCCTGACGAAGAAGTCATTTTAGTATTTGGACTTTCCGACAAGTCCGAAGGTGTATGCTGCTTCAGCTTCACTCTTCATTTGGATCATATAGATCTTAGAGCTACCGACGGTAACACCGCCCTTCTTGGGCATGGCTCCGCCTTCGTTTTCCTCCCAGACGGACACGGCGATACCGGTTCGAGCAACACGCTCGAAAGAGCTCTCGCCTAGGCAGACGTCAAGGAGAACCTCGCCGCGAGTCTTGCCTCGGACAAGAATGCGTTTCTCGGGCTCCGCTCCGCGTCGGGGAGAAACGGATCCAGATGCTGGGGAAGTATCTTCGGCTCCCTCTGCAACGCTGCTGGCATCTCCGCGCCCGCTGGCCGTATCAGAAGCACGAGGTGCTGAGGGCGCAGGCATAATCGTTAGTCTTGCAGCACCCATATCGCGCCACTTGGATTGAGTTTCACGCAAGTAAAGTCGAATCTTGGCGTTGGACAGACCGATACCATCACTGCCTTTGATGGCGGCTGCGATACGACCAATGCCGGATGAGGGAGAGGCATTCGATCCGGAACCAATGGAGCTTGAGTACACGCTGTCTTCATTTTGCCCATCGCGAGAGGTGAGCGAGGAACGAGAGATGTTAAACATCTTGCTTCCCCCTCCGAACCGCTTCAGTGCTGAGAATGCACTGCTCATAGTTCCTACGCTACTCTCAGAATTGTCGGCAACCGACCGTGGAGAAACAGATGCACGGTAGCTTCGCCTGCGCCGTGGCCAACCGAACAAACCACCATTCTTCGTTGGTGATTCCACGGGCGCTGGCTGCTCTGCGTAAGGTCCTCGGGCATTCTGTAGGGCTATGTAGGTTGGGTTGTTAATGCGCGCTTGGTTGATGAGACCGTATAGGAATTCGCACTCGTCGGCGTTTCGAGATCGAAACATGATGTTGTTACTCCAGTTGATCTTGGAGCGTTTGGTCGGAGGGGAACGAATACTTATGTCAATGGCTGTGCCGCGACGGATGGGCACAAGGGGTGTGAGCTCAAGGGCAATCAGTGGGCGTGCTTTCTTTGTGTCGCTGTCATCTTCCTCCATCCCGGCTGGTGCATTGCCCACATCATATGCTTCGATGAGCCCAGGACTGACTATGACCTTGCAATCATCGGGGAAGATGTTATCCCATGAGCCCTTCTCCGACCAGGCGAAGACCGAAGCAATCACTGTAGACGACTTGCTTGGTTGCGAAGGAACGGATCTATATCCGCCCTGAGAGGCGGAGTTGGACAGTGACAGAGAGCTACTAGCAGACGCGGCTTCTGGAGCCTGGGCTTTTGGCTTGGTAGGAGCTTCAAACGGTGGCAGTGATGCGTGCTCATCCCCTGACTCATCTGAGCTGTCCGTGTCCGAATACTCGGAGCCCGAATGCACTTCATACCGACGCACAGTCGATGTATCAGAATCTGAGTACGAATCCGAAGCAGTAGACGGTTCATATTCATGCTTTAGCGGCGAGGAGCCACGGCGTCTAGTCCGCACACCACTAGGGCTAAGCACAGGGGTATTTGGCAGGCTGGAGCCAATAGAACTCGGTGAGCGAGAATGAGTCGGCGGAGGTGGAGGGGACTCATCTTCGTCAACCTGGTCCGATTCCGAGTGCTTGCGAGAATGAGTTTTGTCCTTGCTAGGAGTTTCAGGGATGTCATCATATTCCACAGGAGGGAAATCGTCGTCCTCGGTGGACGCCAAAGAGTCCGAAATGTATGTCTGACTGCTGCCCTTTCTGAGTTTCGGAATTAGAGGAAGATCCATTGACGGCACGGAAGACACTCGGGGAGAACTCTTTTCAGGGGTACTCTTCGTTGGGGTTTTCGGGTTCTGCTGCTGCTGCTTGGGTTTCTTCTCTTCTGAACGTTTGGCTTCCTCGTGGACTGGATGGGCTCCCCGATCCAAGCTTGGGTCTGTTGGTGTGGTAGGGCTAGAAGGAATGATCTCTCCATTTCTGTTGACCCTCTTGGCCTTTGACCGTTTGAGGCCGGGGGAAGGTCTGTCATCAGCCGTGAAGCTTTTTCGGGGTTCCCTGGCATGCAAGATAGATTGCGGAGGCGGGGACTTGATCGAGAACTCGTCACCAATAGCATAGTCCGATTCTGGAGTTACTGCACTTTGCAGTGAAGTACGGGCCTCACTGATCCAGGAGCTCACGGTACTTGGATCCGAAAGATGATCCTTAGGGGTCAAGGATCGACGCAAGGTACGAGAAGTAGGCTTCTCTCCGATAGGAACGTTGACATTTGAAGGACTTGGTGGGGCTTTCTGTGCCTGAGAGGCTTCGTTGGCTGAGGATATAGTTTTTGCTCGTTGGCGCTTGGTCCTGTCAATGAAGCTCTGGGTTCTACAGATAGCCGGTGGGAGAGGATTCGAGCCCAGCATCTGAACCCATTCAAATCCAATATCCTCTTCATCAATTTGAAGCACCAGCAGTTCTTGCCAGGATTTGGTATGGTTCGGGCCACTGCGTAGCATGACCACGATCTCGCCCTTCACGTCGCCGTTGCGAGCAGAGACACGGCCAACCTCGATGGGAGGGAATAGCAACCAACGATCTGTATGATCGATCTCGCAGATTAGTAGATCTCCGCCTGCCTTAATCCCAGCGGCCCCGTCTCTCAAGAGGAGCTCTGCGCGGCAGTCAATGATCTGGCCACTTGTGTGGTACAAGGAAAGATTGAAGAAATCGCGGGCCCGGACTCTTCGGCTTCTGTCAACAGTAACTCCAGGAAGTGCACCCAAGGTCGCAGGATCTCTGGCACGCGTAGCGTCAACGTTGGCAGCAGATTCATCCTCAAGCCTTGCTCTCTCTTCGCGCGCCCGGCGGCGGGCGTCTGTCACAAGGCTCTGATACACCGCAGCAACATCCTCGGCCTTGGGAGATGGCTGAATGGTCTTGATTCCTTTGAAGGTCTTTGCGAGGTACTTCAGGCGTACGAGAGGTCGCTTCAGAAGGTAAGCCACGTCAACCTTCTCACCATCACTATCCACCACATCGCCGTTCTCATCCCTTGCCATGCCCTCATCCAGACTCTTTGTGTCGGTATTGTCGCCTGCCTCACCTTCTTCAAGAGGCGCGAGGTTGACAATGACGTCTTTGAACCCCAGTCTCCAAGCCTTGAGGTATTCACGATACACTCTCTGTGCCCCGTTCGCCCAGGTAAGTAGAGCTTCCACATCATCCTGCGGAATGCGCTTGTGAAGCGTTTTCAGTCGCTCAATAGCAACTCCCATGTCCACTATGGGCTTGCTGAAATTCACCTCATCCTTCGGATCGGCAGAAGGTCGAAAGAGTCCAGCCGCAATAGCAGAATCGGATTTTGATAGCACACATGTCAAGAGGACTGGAATAACACCACCGACCAGGGTCTTAAGCTCACGCATGTATTTTACCTCGTCAGCAGCCAACTCCTTAAGAAGGTCAGGAATGTTTTCTGTAGTGATGCGACTCTTCGTTTTCAGACTCCTGGCAGATCGAAGGCTTCTACTCCGGCCACTTGGAGCAGAGAGGACTGATATCAAATCATCATGAGTAGTGAGGCGCCTCTTTAATTGGGAGGAGATTGCAGGAAGTGAGTTGGGGTCAAATTGGTCCCTTTTCTCCTCCTCGTCGAGCTTTGCCTGGGTGGACTCTGCCTCCCGTTTTTCCGATGCGGCACCTTGTCCTGATCCTGTAGCATTCTTCGTTGTGCTCATAGATTCAACAGATGCGATTGTTGAGAGGGGATGGGCCCCTGTCGTGGGAAATGGCTTTCGACGACCAAGGGGCACCGGTGCGTTATTCGCAGACACTTCAGAACCCTCTGACAACAGTTGGGACTCAGTCTCTGATGCATTATCGTTGTTGGCACGGGGTCGTTTGCCAACGGGTAGCTTATCGGCGCCTGATGACCGCGGTTTCTCCTCACGTTCTGTAGGTGCCTTGTGTTTGTCCGAAGTAGCGCTGTCCTTCTTGGGCTCTGCTTTCTGTTCTGCTGTCTTTGATTGTTCGCTTGTAGCCGGGCCATCTTTCCTCTGCGCTGGCAGAGCATCCTTCTTCGATATGTCGCTCGCAAGGGGAGGCTCGGTATCGCTCTTGTCCTTCGGCGCATCCTCTTGTTTCACGGGATCCTTCTTCTTGCCGGTTTTAGTGTTTAATGGCGCGGGTATCTCGACATCGGGCTCCATGTCCTCCACGAACGGGTCGGGCGTTTCAGAAAGCCATGCCTCTATTTTAGCGCCTCGGTTGGGTTTCGGGGGTTCCGGTTTAGCGAACATCCTCTTTGATTCATCGAGCATATGGGAGAATATGCCGCCTTTGGGGGGCTTCACCGTTCCCCGGCCTCTAGGTGCAGCACCCCGGGGTACTGGATTTGGACCTCGCGCACGTCGCCTGGAGAGTTCTGAGAAGTCGGCCTCGCTTGTCGCCCACTCGGAGTCCTCGTACAGTCCTCCGTCCCTTGTCTTTGCACTTTGCGACAGCTCCGACCGTGCACGTACATGGGTTTTGTCGGCGGTTGGAGGTCGCGAAATGGACTTGGAAGAACCATTGTGAGACGCACTCTCCTCCTCGGCCTTGTCCTCGGGTATTGTATCGACATCTCGAGATGCCCTCGATTTTCTCCGTTCTCTTGTCGCGAGGTCGGATGCTATAGCAGCCCTGCCCCTTTCCTTGTTGCGGGACGGAGAGGGCAATATTGTATCCTCCCGCGCACCTTCCGCCTCGTCACCCTGCGGAGAACGCAGACGGTCATTTGTGGTATACTCGGCAATGCGTTTTGGCGGAGGGAGCCTGGAAGAAGGCGTCTGGGTAGGGGTTCGGTTCAGCTTCCAATGCTCATCACTAATGACTCGTTTGCGAGGCGTGCTTTTGCTGCGTTTCCTCGTTCCGGAGCCATTGGAACTACCGGATCCCTTATCTTCGACCACTTTGGGGTTGGTATCGGCTGTTGAATTCTCCTCGTCGTCGTCGTAGCAAACCCCATCATTGGCAGTTATTACCCCGCCCCCCTGTTGCTGCCACTTGCGAACCTTTGCTCGCACTGAATTCGTATCGTAAATGCCTAGGGGTACTCCAATGTCGAGCGGTTTCTTGGTCGGGGATGTTCTGGTGCCTCCCCCACGGTTGGAGGGGCGCTGCGGGTTGGCAGGAGTCGGCATGGAAATCTGCGACCGGAACCAGGCATTAGCAGTGAAATTGAGGTCGCGGAGGTTGATCGAGATGTCAGACGGAATCAGCGGATAGATGCGATCGCAGAGCTGACATTTTTTTTTGTAGGGTAGTGTGAACAAAGAAAGATAGGAGAATCCACCCACCGACGTCACCAGGTGTTTGTTTATGGGAGGGGAAGCTCACTCGAGGTCGAGACACCGACAGCACATACCCTGGTAAACAACCACAAGGTAGCGGTTCTGCTGGGGAGAGAGCAATTAATTGGGACACCACAAAAGCAAAATACGAATTCAAGACAGAATATGCAACGCGAAAGTCAAGAACAAGCAAGGAATTGAGCGAGAATAGGCGGTCAAGTGCAGAATGGAGACCGGACGTAGGCAGCGCAGCTTCACTAGTCTAGTACACACGGACGGCGCTGGTTTAGAGTGTCGAGTAGCTGGCGCGGGGGACATTCAGTTGCTAATTTGGATGTCTCCAGAGGCCCTCATTCCTTTCCGAGAGTTTGAAGAGGCTCTTTCAAGAACAATAATCCACAAGGCCAGCCTGGATGCACAACAATAACAACACAACACACCAGTGTGTTGATCCAATTGTGTCTGGTTCTGGTGGTCTCTATACTTCGCTGGAACTGCGGGACGGACAACAGACGGACAAGGACACACTTTCGGCCCTCTTCTGGGTTTGGCAGAAAGGCTGCCCGGGAAACCAGCTTGAACTCTGCGCCACTCACTGGGCCCCAACCAATTCCATGGCCAGAATGCCCCGTTCGTCACAGATCTGGCGCCCAAGTTTAGTTTGCACCAGCCAACCGCATTCCGCCAGAAATGATGATTTGCTGCTGCTCTTGGGCTCGACCGTTCAGAGCTCAATTATTCATTCCGCGACCGGTGGTTCGACCCTCCCTTTTCTCTCAAGTGGAATCGAATGGATCAGGTACATCCATCCAAGATTCCAGAGCTTGTAGGGAAATGCCCCCCTCTATTTATCTATCCATCCCTTCCCTTCTTTTTCTTTTCTTTACTCCAGCTTACCCTGCACGGTCATGGTCATAGCTGCTGGCTGATGAGATGCACATGGGCCCTCAATCTCCACCTGACTTTGCGGCCTTTGCATCCCATGCCTCGCACCCTGTCACCACCCTGGCCGCCCAATGTCGTGGTCGTTTGAAAGTTTCTCATCTCTTTCTGTTTGAACTCCGATAAATAGAACAGTCATATTGCACCGCGGAATAGTAGCCGTAAGACGATCATTCCGGTGTAATTAACGTGTTTTTCGGAGCTATACCTTCTGTTTGCCGGAAGAGCAGGAATGCCTAAACCGATCCACCGGGGGCTACGCGTCACAGAGTGGGCTAAAAAGGGAAAAGGATTCTACCTGATTTATTGATAATTCGAGTGCGTTGTCATGCACTGGGCTATGCGGATTGCTTTTTCCCACTCGGGTGCTGTTGATTGGAGACTCAACAAGAGAGGGCTGTTCCGGCCGAAGCGAAGATCATCTCATGCGGGAATGCCCTCTGAGATTAAACGCATGCATGGTCAGGGAAAGGTCAAGGCCCTTGGTCTGCGTTAGCCAGCACTACCCCTCATCTAGATGCTGTTCCGTTTATAACACGGGTGACATCATCTCTCACTGTACGTCTCTCTATCGGTCCTTGCGCTGTTTGGAAGTATTTTCCACGGCTCTAAGAGCCTCTGTTATTGTCCGGATACTCCGGTAGAGATAGTCTAGGTCCATCGTCAGCTCTAAACGAGTGGTAAACAAGCAAGGGAGCCGTGAGACTGGAACGTACAGAATGGAACCACAATCCAGATGAAATTCATGAGGAAATAGTACACCCAAAAGTAGTAAGGCTCCGGGCGGCAGTACGGTCGGTCATGAACGTAGTGATCGAACAAGCTGGTCGCATAGTACAGAGCATCGCCATAGAGGTGGCTCATGCACACGATGATCTGCAATGGATGGCGCAGAGGATGCTGAGAAAGGGTCAAGTATGCGACCAGATAACAGAGCGGGCCCCAAAGAAGCTATTCCAGTATTTTAGCAACGGTGTCGCAGACGGAGCTAAGGAGGACAATGAGCAGGGGTCCCTGCAGCCACGGGTGCACCTACGACCGTGATAGTCTCCATACATAAGACAAGGGTATCTGAGGTCATGTATCGCGAATCCGACAGGGCATATTCCTTCCATAGCTGACCGAAAAAGTCCTGCGCGGATGCCATACGAGCATGGTTGATCATAAAATAACCCTCGAAGAAGCAGTGAATCGTACCCGCTGGGAGTTCACACTGCAATTAGCATCGAGGATTGTTGACTCGCTGTTGGAGTCGTACGTAACTAAGGAGTCCGACTTACAGAGGGCAAACCACAGAATAGCAAGACGGTCGGCATTCTTTAGCGTTGGTCGGAGTCTACTGGTCAGGGTGAGAATGATTCCCAGTAAAGCTGCCGCGCCCACGCTAGCAGTACTGAGGATACTGAGTAAGGAAGCCTCGTTGGGAGCATAACCATGGATTTGAGCATTGAGGGGGTAGTAGGGATGGGGTAGAGCTTTGGAGTCCATGGTAGTCATTGTGTTGAGTCCTTCGATTGAGCGATCGATGGTTGGAATTGACAGAGGCTCGAACAGGAAGAGGTCTCTCACTTATGTATGGCTCCAGTAGTCGGTCGGAGTAAAGTATAGTGGGATGCTCAATTGATTTTTCCCTATTCGGTAAAGAGAGTACAGTAAATAACCAGACCTACCCAAGCGACTGGACTGGGGAGTCAATGTTCTCAAGCGAGTATCCCTGGCTGAATTTCTTTTCAAATCGTCTCCTTTTGCTCTCTTTCTGTGAACAACTGGATATCATGATGGAGCAGCTGTTGAATAGCAATTGCAACTCATTCAGCTGATCCGCACGGGACTAACCTGATGGAGCTAGCGGGATTGACGTCCTCAGGCAACGACAGCTTCTCCGCAACTCTTCCCCCCCAAAGGTCCGCTAACTGTTTGACCGACGCCAGCTTGTATCGTCCGATGTCGCCATCTCCGTGATTCTGCTCCTCTCACTCATTCCATGGGGTCGGTCACCTTCGCTGATTACGCGCTCTCCGGCAATGGCACCTGGTCCTTTTAGACGCAAGCCCCTGGGGCTTGACGTGCCCCGCCCCGCTACGGTCGTCGAGTCGCCGCCTGGCATTGCGGCCCTCTTCGTCATTCGTTTCGATATCAAGGCCGGGTGAGGAATTCCAAGTCTGTCTTAACAGCAACTCACGCAAATATTTATGATTACTGACGGCTCTTCTGGAATGCAGATACGTGATATCGTGGAAGCGTACTGTTCCCGGGGGTAAGTAGCACCCTGCTGCTTCAACGGTCCTCCCCGTGATATAGCGTCGCCTAACCCAGCCGATCATACAGTTGAAGTTGAAGGAGCTGTGGAGTACAAGTCGCTTCCATCTGGTCTGCACAATGTCTCAGAAGATCTGGTGTACGTATACTACGGCTTCGTCCGGTCATGAATGCTTGCTAATAGCTCGGTCTTGCCAGATACTTCGTCCACGAGCAATATGCTGGCATCAGCGCGTTTGTCAATTGGCCTGCTGAGGAAGCGGAGCGAAATGCAAAGATGTTTGCTATCGGGGTTCTCGTCCCATTAAGCTCCGGAAGGTTGGGGAAAAGCTGGAGACATGCTCCCAAGCTCAAAGAATTGGCGGCGTAAGTTGAAATCGGCCATGCGCTGTCCTTTTGATCCGGCCGTTGACGCTTTCGTGATCGCTTCCAGGAACTATGCCGAGGATATGTCGAATACGCAACCTTTAACAGAGTACTGGGATAATTACGAGATTCGTGAAAGTGATTCTTCCGCTATGCCACCCGATTCCCCCATGGAGTCTCCTCTCAGTCTCCGGCTGCGGGCCCATGGTGATCTAAGAGATGCCGTCCATCGAACCCGCGCTTTCAGTGATGCAATCGTGTTGGAAACGCCCAGGCCGGCCCTGACGCCCTTCCACCCAGCTTCCTCGCTCCCTAATTTTCTAGATTCCTTCGGTCCTCTCCTATTTCCTCTGTACAGAGCAGCACTGCTGCGCAAAAGGATCCTTTTCATGGCTGAGGCGCCAGTTCAAGAGCCCTGTAGCTATGGTATGATTGCTATCCAATATCATTCCACCCATGCTTACAGTCAAACAGTGTACGATCTTTCTTTATTGGCCTCCTTACCTAATTCGCTCCTTCCTTTACTGCCGCAAGACGGTTTACCCTCTCCGCGACCTCGCCCATTGTTCAACGTCGGCATTCATGATATTCCTCACCTCTCGTCTTTTGTGGGCACTTCGGTCAATGCAGAACATGACGCAGCCTGGATTGCATGCAGCACAGACAGCGTTTTGACCATGAAGCCTGAGCTCTTCGATGTTCTTGTCACCTTACCTCCCGCTCACTCCAAGAACGCCGCAGAGAAGGTATTTCCTACTATTTCCATCTTTCATACGCAACCGCCAAAGGGCAAGACGCCCCAATCTATCGAAGTCAAAGCAACCCAGCGCGACGCACGACGTTACGCTACCCTTCGCAAGGGTCTTCGACACGTAACCCAAGAAGAAGAAGAAGCAGCATCCACTGAAGCCGACGACGACTCGGACGCCGCCTCGACGTACTCATCCAGTCCCATTGTGGAACCTCTCTCATGGACACGCTTGGCATACACCTCCTTCATATGGTGGGCATCAGCCGGCGAGAAGCGCGACGGTCTCTCCGAAGAAGAGGAAGAAGAGCACCAAATGGAACAGGACACGCGCCTGCTAGCCAGTGTAGAAACTCTTCCCAGCCCACCCTCTGGATCTCTCGGCCGTCGAAGCATTCAAGCGCAGGAGTCGACCCAGCCGCCTGAAATTGCCCTAGTCGCGTACTTCCGTCGCCTCACAGCCCAAATCTTCATCACTCTATCCGACGTAGTTGCCCGGCACGATAGCCGCAATTCCCCCGATGACGATGAAGATGACGACGAAGAGATACCCGAAGAGGACACCATTCCTTACGAAGATGATCCAGAAGACGACGAAGGTCCCGGCCCCTCCCTTACCATTGGCCGACAATCCACCCAAGAAGACGATTCCAGATCTCCATTGCTACAACAGCAGACAGGGACCGGGTCGCGCGACACCAGAGCCTCCTACGACGATAGCGACCCAGTAAAGATCACTTCTGAAGATCTGACCGAGATGGGCCTGGATATCTGGAGCACAGCTGACCGTCTGTTTGTCGAGGAACTGGTTCACCTGTGGTGGGGTCGGAAGGCACGTGTGGACAGTGCGAGGATCAGATGTTGCGGTATTTCCATCATATAAATGGTGTATGTGCTGGTTGGGCTGCAATAGTGAGATGCATCCTACTTCTTGTTCGTTCCTTTATTCTTTATTTCGAGATCGTCTTGTCTGGCACTATGTGTACGCATGAAAGTATATACGGCCCGGTATTAGCATTTATAGACTGTCTAGTCCATTTCTAGGAAGTCGTGCTAGGCTAATAGTGTTACTACTACTACTACTACTACTACTACTATGACTTTTGTTAAAAGAAGGCGAGTTCACATTGAAATTGTCATGTCAATATCATAAAGGTTCTAGTCTTCATCCAAACAGCATCTTGAAATCCACCAATCAGGCATCGTAGAAATCAACCTATATACAAAAAAGGATGGGTTCACCAAGCAAAGAGTATCAAAAAAAAATCACTAGACAAAGGAGAGTAGAGAATGATCTAAGAGAATGTCAAGGCTGATAAGCGATGCTCATTCGCCATGGAGTTGGGATAAATGATAGAATGGACCAGAAGAACAAAGCATTCAAGTGAGAAAATTAACCTCTTGGTATATGCAAGAGGGAAATAAGTAATGGTCGTAGCTTTTTGCAATGGGCATAAGAAGAAAAGGACACAAGAGAGCACCGTTTATGCCCAACAAAAATCAACATCCAAAAAGAGAAAAACGCCATTTCGCTCGGAGGACCAGGGTATCAAGAGAGAGTTGAGTCGTTAACCAAGAAGATGAGGAATGAGAGATGATTTTGGATCGTTGAGTCAAGCGCACTGATCCTGGCTGTCATGTTCAGCCAGTGATGGGACGGCGGTTTCAGTAGTGGGACATTTGGATAGGAGCGCTCATATCCCTCCGACTTCTGATGGAACCGTCGCTTGCATCTGAATTCTGGACGCCAGGGTACCGTCGAGCGCTTCGGACAGGAGTAACTCCCATGCCTCCCGAGCGAAGCCCGCTTTCACTGGCACTGACAGACCTCTTCATGGTGTTTGCTCTCTCTCTCCGCGCTCTAATCTGAGCCAGTGCTTCTTCTCGGCTGATGGGGGTACCAGGCACGTCGGAAAAGCGATTTGATCCCCCATCATCGCGCAGAGGAACCTTCGTGGGGTCATTGTGCCTCTCAGGGGTGCCGGCTTCATGTCCAATGGGCATCACAGGATCCCATGGCACATCAACAACCGCTGGCGAGGGGTGGCCTTTCGGAGTAGCTTCACGATCCGTTATAGAATCAAACGGAGCCTGGCGCTGAAGAGACCCATATTTCGGGGCAGGGCTACCAGACATCACACGGGCGTCTATTCCGTGTTCAGCGTAGGCTGCTGGTGACTGATGATCGTTTGCAGTAGCCTCGTTGGCCTTTCGGGGAGATCCTCGTACAGGAGAAGGGAAGGTGTGGAAGGTCCCAGTGGCAGGTGAGAATGTTATCAAAGGTTCCTCCGGAGGCTCATCGTCGTCGTCATCGTCAACATCCTGGATCTCCTCGACCTCTTCAACGATTTCATCCACATCTTCATCGACATCATCCCCGGCCACCTCGCGCTCGGCTGCTTCTTCTCCGGCAGGATCCTCCATCAGTATTTGTTCCTTGACACTTGTCACATATCTAGGCTCGCCTTTAGGAGTATGAGACGGACTTGGCTTCTCTGGTGCAGCAAGTGCGTTCTGGTCATTTTTGTGATGTTTTGGGTGTTCCAGCTCATCCTTTTTCGTCGTATCCACGCTTTGCGGTTCATGGGTATGAGGAACGCTTTTCTGCTCTGCCAAGCGGCAAGTGCAGCGTTTAAAATGGCACTCCAGGCGCAAGAATTCGAGCATTCCCTCGGCGTCGACTCTGAGTTGACGCTCGCGCCTGAGGGTCTCCTCCAACTCAGCGATTTGTTCCTCATGTACATCGAGTGTCGTGATCTCCGCGGCCTCCTTTCTAGGGGTTACGTCTGACATCCTTTGTCTCTTGGGAGGTGTATCCTTGACCGGTGAAGATTCAGCGACATTGGCTTGAGGCGGGTTGGCTATTTCCTCTGCAGAACGTTTGGGTCTCCGAGGGGTAGGTGTCAACAAGAGATTGAGATCGCCTTCAGTCAGCGACATTCGTCCAATATCGTTTTTCTTCTGCTGCGCTTGCGCTTCGAGCTTCTGCGAGTGGTTGTTGGCCTCGACGGCCCGTAGCTGTTCTTTAAGGACCTCCATCTCCTCCGTGAGACCAGCAATAGCATAAGCGCGTTCGAAAGCCTCCTGTTTTGCTTGTTCTTTTGCTGCTCGCTCTGCCTGGGCCTCGTCTTTGTATCCTTTTGCTTCGTTTCTTGCGTTTTTCAGCTCCTCCTGTGTTTTCACCAGAACGGAGCCAGCTCGAAAAGCTTCCTTCCTCGCCTTCCTAATTTCTTTTTCGAAGATTGATCGCTCGTGGGCCTGGCGTTCTTTTGTTGTTTGCAGTTCTTCCAGCAGGGACTCCAGCCTTTCACTTATCCGACGCTCCCGCGACTGGGCTTCAGAAAGTTGAGCGGAAACATTGGCCAACGCCGACTCAGCCTCTTCGCGCCCAAGGATAGCCCGCTGGAGAGCTGCCGTAGATGCTGCTGAAGGCTGTGAGCCCTGCGCGGGGCTGTTTCCTCGCGACAAGTTGTTCAGATACGCGACCTTGGCCTGTACATCGGTGAGCCCCCGGGGGGTCTTCCGCTGCATGTTGAAAATATCCGATGACATTGAGGGTGAGCCAAGTCCGATCTGCTGGTTCATCCGGTCTGGTGACAGGGGATTGAGGGCCTTTGTCGGGCTCGGCGTCGCGCTCGATGGAGAATCCATCGCGGCAGTATGTGCTGTTGCTGTGGGTGGTTAGTGTAATAAAATGATGCGTTCACTCAAGACTCGAACATGACAGTCGTGTCTCGAGGGATTGTGAAACTAGTAGGTGCCGAAGGAAGCCCCGTGGAAAATCCACCTGGAGTGGAGGTGAGAGGAGAGTAGTGCTCGGTTGATGATCCCCTAATCGGTGACGCACCCACAACAATCAACCGATCCCGCCGATTCCACGCTTGTTTGTTGCTCGCGCCGCAGTCCCGTGACCGTTGCCCGGGACAACTATGATTAGCCGTATTGGGAAGGCGGGGTTCACGTGTCACAGAATCTTCCACTAGTCCCAGATAGGCAACCAGCGCATCCAGTGGTCTGTGCGTCCACTGCTTGTGATGCCATCAGTTGCCCACGATTATGAGATTGTGGGTGCTGTGTTCTAGACTCGCAGATAATTTGAAGGTCCTGGACTGCACTGAGATTGGCTTCTGCAAATTTCGGTACTTCTTTCAGGAGCCTTTCTGGAATTGAAATCCCCTGCATGTGCATCACCCTGTAGGATCAATCTGCGACAGCTGCATATATTTTCTGGGTGCAACGCCAATGTGGGACATAGTAATTGTCAACACCGACCATGCATGAAATCATCACCCTACAGCTCGGTCAGCGAGCTAATTACCTGGCCACACATTTTTGGAATCTCCAGGTTAGTGAGTCAATTATCATGCTGCGCTTCTCATCAAATATGCATCTTATAGCTGACATTTCTGGCAGGAATCCTACTTCACTTACAACGAGGAAGAGGAATCTCCAGTAGACCATGATGTTCATTTTCGCCCAGGCGTCGGCGCCGATGGGTCGGAAACATACACCCCTAGGACTGTCATATATGATCTGAAAGGTGGCTTTGGCACGCTCCGCAAGTACAACGCTTTGTACGAATTGACTGAAGATGCCACCCCGGGCCAGGGTCTATGGTGGGTTTTCACCTTCCTACGTACTCTCTTTTATCCGAGGCAGGTGCAATACTAACAATGGAATTGTAGGGACGGAAAGGAGATTTTACAACAGCAAGCGCTAATTCCCCAGAGTGACTACCAGAAGAGCCTCGACGCGGGGCTACCTGCTCCAACGCTTTCTGCAGAGACAGTAAGGTATTGGTCGGATTATAACCGACTCTTCTATCACCCTCGCTCCATTGTGCAGCTCAACGACTATGAGTTAAACTCCAAAATCATGCCTTTTGAGGATTGGACTATTGGTGAAGAATTGTTCAATGAGCTCGACAAGGAGCATGACTTGCTCGACCGAGACGTCAGACCTTTCGCAGAAGAATGCGATCAGCTGCGTGCACTGCAAATATTCACCGGCTCTGACGACGCATGGGGCGGCTTTGCTGCAAAGTACATTGACAGGATCAGGGACGAATATGGCAAGAAGTCCGTCTGGGTTTGGGCCATCGAGAACGGAAAGAAGGTCGATCGGGTGAGTGCTTCTACGATATGTTCTAGGTCTATGTGAAGCTTACACTGGATCATATGCCAGCAAACTCAGTTCAAGAGGGATTTGAACAAAGCTCGGTCTGTACATGCCATCTCCACACAGGCATCGCTGTATGCGCCCATTATCGACCCTCCAAGTCGAATCCCCCGATCTATCTATCTCGATCCTCGATCGGAATGGTACACTTCGGCCTTGGTGAGCGCCGCCATGGAAAGCGTGTCACTCCCCACGCGACTGCGTCCATATCACGACTTTGAGGCGTCCCTGGCAGGTGATGACAGTATCCATAAAATATTCGAGCTGCAATCTACAATCGTGCAGGATGGTGAAGATGCCGCCAAATCGCCTACCAAACCATCGGATGATAGTGATGAGAAAGAACCTGGAAGCTCGCCGATCAAGAAAGACTTTGATCTGGACTTTACCTACGACGGGCTGACCTGCCAAAAATCCCACCATGTCTTCAACCAGCTTCAAGTTTCACGGGGAGTTGCCGATCGTGAGAATGAGTCGGGCGGGGAGGACCAGGGTATCCTCCGCAGAAAACGACACTTTAACTCGGAACCAATGTTCCAGAGGTCAGACAAGCCCGCTGAACTCGTTCCATGCAGTCACATCGTTAACATTACATATAGGTTTCATACGACCCTACCTTTCCCGGTACTGGACAGCTTCCCTCAGAATATGTTCCCGGAACTCAGATCGAAGGAGAAAATCAGTATTCTTGCCGCATTGACTGTCTCTTCGCGAACGGCAGAGAGATTGAAAGTCTATGAGACATTGGCTGGACGAGTGGCTGGCGTGGATGAGCGGGAAACTTTGGTCAATGGGTTGGGCGAGATCCGCGAGACATACGAGACAGGATGGATGAGCGATTCTGACTTCGACGATGACTAGCCTTATAAGAAAAAAATATAGCTCACACTTGCATCGTACTTGTAACATCATTGATCACACCTTGCAGATGGAAATATCTAGTTGGACCCTGAAGCAGCTGGTTCCTTTTAAGCACGCCGATCGGGGCGGCGATCGGCGGGGGCAAACAGAACAAACAGCGAACCGGTCGGCCAAACGTGGCCTCTGTGCAATCATCGCGCCTTTCATTCATCGCGAATCTCATTTCTTGGTCCTACTTTCGCTTACTGCCAGGTGGCCAGTAATTCCAACTGTGATTGTGGCCTAGATGACTCTGTCGTTCTAGATCTTGCGTACGTGGTCTGTTTCCTTCCACAATGCTTCCCTCCAGCCAGCTAACCGGCTCATAGTTCACGACAGCTACTTTCACTATTCAGCCCACCTCCGGACCCTGAATCAAACCTATTCGATGTACCAATAGCTGTTTTCACCAATCGCTCTTTCAAAGTATAACCGATAGAAGAAAAGCTGTTACTTCATATATCGGATGGGGAATTATTGAATTTTTGTGATAAGCAGAAGGTATGCGACAATGTGTGGAGGACGACTATCAGGGACGGAAGGATTTACTGACTCTTGAAGCATCAGAATTATACAGACCATGGCTCCCGGCAGCCAGCGACGGTCCTATGCCTCGCTCACCTCCCTCCCCGTACTCTCCCTAATTCTACCGTTTCTCCTCTTTGTCCTCAGCTTTCCTTCCCCGGCCGCGGCTGCGGGTTCCGCAGTCCTTGGTATCGATGTCGGTACAGAGTACCTAAAAGCTACGCTCGTCAAACCCGGAATTCCACTTGAGATTGTTCTCACCAAAGATTCGAAGCGCAAGGAGTCGGCCGCTGTAGCGTTCAAGCCTACCCGCGAGGCCGATGCCTTGTTCCCCGAGAGATTCTACGGTGGCGATGCCTTGGCGCTAGCGGCACGGTATCCCGATGATGTCTACTCGAACCTCAAGACTCTGCTTGGACTTCCTTTCGATGCGGACAATAAGTTGATCAAAAGTTTCCACAACCGCTATCCTGCCTTGCGCCTGGAAGAAGCGCCCGGAGACCGTGGCACGGTTGGCCTGCGAAGCAACAGACTGGGAGAAACCGAAAGGAAGGATGCCTTCCTTGTTGAGGAAATCCTGGCCATGCAGCTGAAGCAGATCAAGGCCAATGCCGACACTCTGGCTGGAAAGGGATCAGACATTACGGACGCCGTGATCACTTACCCGTCGTTCTACACCGCCGCGGAGAAGAGGAGTCTGGAATTGGCCGCGGAACTGGCAGGTTTGAACGTCGATGCATTCATCAGCGATAATCTCGCGGTCGGGTTGAATTACGCAACCAGCCGCACGTTCCCCAGTGTTTCGGATGGCCAGAAGCCCGAGTACCACATTGTCTACGACATGGGTGCCGGCTCTACAACTGCCAGTGTCCTTCGCTTCCAAAGTCGCTCGGTGAAGGATGTGGGACGATTCAATAAGACCGTCCAGGAAGTCCAGGTTCTCGGAACCGGCTGGGATAAGACTCTTGGAGGAGATGCCCTGAACGATCTGATTCTTCAGGATATGATCGCCAGCCTCGTCGAGGAAAAGAAGCTCAAGGACCGGGTTTCCCCGGCTGATGTCCAGGCCCACGGAAAGACCATGGCGAGACTCTGGAAGGATGCGGAGAAGGCTCGTCAAGTTCTCAGTGCGAACACTGAGACGGGCGCCTCTTTCGAGAGTCTTTATGAAGAGGATCTCAACTTCAAGTACCGTGTCACCCGCGCCAAGTTCGAGGAGCTCGCGGAGCAGCATATTGCACGTGTCGGAAAGCCCCTGGAGCAAGCTTTGGAGGCTGCTGGACTGCAGTTGAGCGACATTGACTCCGTTATCCTTCACGGTGGCGCCATCCGCACACCGTTCGTGCAGAAGGAGCTCGAGCGGGTTTGCGGTTCTGCCAACAAGATTCGCACCAGTGTCAATGCGGATGAAGCCGCAGTGTTCGGCGCTGCCTTCAAGGGAGCCGCTCTGAGCCCTAGCTTCCGCGTTAAGGACATTCGAGCAAGCGATGCCTCGAGCTACGCTGTCGTACTCAAGTGGGCTTCCGAGTCTAAGGAGAGACAGCAGAAGCTTTTCACTCCCACTTCCCAGGTCGGCCCCGAGAAGCAGGTTACCGTGAAGAACTTGGACGACTTCGAGTTCAGCTTCTACCACCAGATCCCCGTCGACGGCAATGTCGTCGAATCCCCAATCCTGGGTGTGAAGACACAGAACCTCACTGCCTCTGTTGCTAAATTGAAGGAAGACTTCGGTTGCACGGCTGCCAACATCACCACCAAGTTCGCCATCCGCCTGAGCCCTGTCAACGGACTTCCTGAAGTCGCCAGCGGTACCGTCAGCTGCGAGGTGGAGTCTGCCAAGAAGGGAAGCGTGGTCGAAGGTGTCAAGGGATTCTTTGGCTTGGGTAACAAGGATGAACAAGCTCCTCTCGGGGAGGAAGGCGAGCCCAGCGAGTCCATCACTCTTGAGCCCGAGGAGCCTCAAGCCGCGACGACTTCCTCGGCAGATGACGCTACCTCCACCACAACTGCCAAGGAGAGCAAGAAGAGCACCCCCGCAACCAAGCTGGAGTCAATCTCTATCAGCTTCACCTCATCTCCCCTGGGAATCCCCGCCCCCACCGAAGCCGAACTCGCTCGCATCAAGAGCCGCCTGGCTGCCTTCGACGCCTCGGACCGTGACCGTGCCCTGCGTGAAGAAGCACTCAACGAACTGGAATCCTTCATCTACCGTAGCCGCGACCTAGTCGACGACGAGGAATTCGCCAAGGTAGTGAAGCCCGAGCAGCTGATCACGCTGCAGGAGCGAGCCTCCGAAGCCAGCGACTGGCTGTACGGCGACGGCGACGACGCAAAGACCGCCGACTTCCGCGCGAAGCTCAAGTCCCTGAAAGAGATCGTCGACCCAGCCCTCAAGAGAAAGAAGGAGAACGCGGAGCGCCCGGCCCGCGTTGAGCTCATGCAACAAGTCCTGAAGAACGCCAAGTCCGTCATGGACGTGATGGAGCAACAGATCCAGCAAGACGAGGACCTCTACTCCTCCAGCGTCGCAGCATCCAGCTCTTCCTCCTCTTCCACAACCGAGTCCTCGACCTCCTCATCCACCACCACTGAATCCTCTTCTTCCGTCGACCTCGACGAAGACCCCTACGCCACTACCTCCACCTCATCCACCACTAAGACCGCCTCGGCCACCACAACCCCCAAGCCCAGCGGTCCCAAATACTCCATCTTCCAACCCTACGACCTAACCAGCCTCTCCAAGACCTACGAATCCACCAACACCTGGTTCGAAACCCAGCTCGCTCTCCAGGAGCAGCTCACCGTGACCGATGACCCGGCCCTCCCCGTCGCCGAACTCGACACCCGTCTCAAGGAGCTCGAGCGCGTCCTGAACCGCATCTACGATAAGATGGGCGCGGCGGCAGCCAAGTCCGGAAAGGAGCAGAGCAAGAAAAACAACAACAACGGCAAGTCGTCGAAGAAGGAGAAGGCCAAGGCGCAAGAGGAGCAGAAGAAGTCTGCTAAGGAAGAAGAGCAGAAGGAAGATAAGAAGGCTAACCGCAAGGATGAGCTGTAATTCGAGCGGCAGCTTGGTCTTCTGATTTATGGGAATTGAGGTAATCGGTTCCCAGAGAAATAAAGTAAAAATACTAGGAGTTCGGATTGAGCGTTACTACTGCCACTTTCGTTGCTTTTTCTTGTTGTGATGTGATGAATTTATTTACACGCTGATTGAGGAAGTCCCTGTGGGGGGGTCATTGGTCGGTGTTATGTAAACTATACTACTATAGATAGAATTGACTTGACTGTTCATTTACTTTTTTTTTTTTTTTTTTTTTTTTTTGGAAGTTTCTTTGATTTATTATTTGATGCAGTCCAGATTCAAATCTGTTGCATGGGTGCTGGCTATTGTATTAGCCTAACTAGGAAGGTTGAACAGGTAGAGTCATCACAATCGGGTTATATGTACAGGGTGCTTGATAACAAACAACAAGAATGTAGAGCAAGCAGGGGCCAAGTAAGAATATGCATAGAAAAACAGACAGACAGACAGGGCAAAGAAACACAACGGGCGAAATAAAGAACAGTATGCATGGCGCATCAATTCATCCATCCGGCTTGTCTTCCAGCACATAGAACCAGCCTATGGCACTCTGTGTCCACAAGGAACGTTGCACGCAACCGAAAAGCACAACAGATAATAGTACAACCACCCAAACCCAGCCCAACCCACGTTAACTCCGGCTAATAAGATAATCCAGAAACGACGAGAGAAATAATGGGAAAACCCCAGCAATAGTAATAACACGCTTAAATCCCACCCATTTCAATCTCCGAGCTTCGACTCACAGAGCCATACTCCATATCCACCTCCTCGCGACTGCGCAAGAAGGAAGCCTCCTCAAAGTCATCAATATCCATACCCATGCCCTCAGAGATAGTGGCATGTTTCCGCAGCGTCACGAACCGTCTTCGCTGCTGATTCAACTTGGGCGCAAGGATGGTCCGGCCCATCAGAGTAGCATTGTGTGTAGATAGATCCAAACCCGAAGCAGCAACGTCATCGTCCTCACTATCGTCGAGGTCAAAGTCCATTTCATAAGAGCGTTTCTGACCACCGGCGTTGGACTCCTGGCTGCTGGAGGGGAGGGAGAAAGCGTCGCCTTCGTCATCGGTGATAAGGTTCATGGGTGCGGAATGACTGCGCATGCCGCTGTAGGGAGCCAGCTCGGAGAAGTTGGGGTCGGGCTTCGCCAGACGAGTCTTGTATCCCTCTGCGACGGATTTGCGAACGCGCATGCCGACGGAGAGGAGGGAGGCTTGGACTTTGGTGGGGACGATGGGGGTGGGGGAGCAGGTTGCGGCGGAGTAGTGGTTGTGAGAGAGGTGGTGGGTGCGGTCGGTGGTCACGTTGTCATTGTCTTCTGAGGGAGGTGTAGATGTAGTTGAGAAGAAGCTAGTGATTGGTGGCTGAAAGCGTCTGCGTTTGGAGGCCAGGTCGGAGGCCTTGGTGGTGGTGGTGGGGTACTGGAGGGAGGGGGACATGTTGGACTGAATTGAATAGAGACAGACGGGACTTTTGTCTATGCGGGGAGTGGAGAAGTTGTAGTGGTCTAGTCTGTTTGTATGATCGTGGGGGACCACTTAGGTCTAAAAGGACGGCTTCTGATTTGACAGGAGATGTAGTTTGGAATGTGCGATGTAGTAAGAGAAAATGCAAGGGCTGTGGAGGGGAGAGGGGGAGAATAGAATCTCTAATAGCAGAAGAGGAAGAGAAAAGAAAGAGGCTGGGGAGGGAAAGAACCTGAGGCACGGAACGCGACGCGCCACGACGCGCCCGGCACGTGTCACTTTCAATCTATCCTCTTTGGGACTGACATGGAAATACTCCAATATTTTATGGGAAAGTACACATATTTAAAGTATATTAGGTAGTATCTGGACTACGGAGTATATCCTAATAGCATTGTGGACATGCAGATAGTTACTAGAACATGTCTAATAGTTCGGTGATTGCAGAAGAGCTCTATATACAAAAAGGCACGCTTTTTAGGACATCCAATGGAGATGAACCAAGAGGCTCGATGATACAACAGTAACTAGAACATGGAACGAAACAATAGATCTACGATAGGGTATCACCATATATACCTTAACCAATGTTTCCTCTGCGACCTCCCCGCTTGGCCCGATCATGATGAGCCTTGAGGACGGCGCGGGTTTGCACCAAACTCCGCTTGTTCTTGCTCTTGGCCTTACCCAGGGTCATCAAGAAGTTCTTCTTGCGCGCCTTCTCCTTGTTGGTCGTACTCTTGCCCTGATCCTGCTTGCGCTCCTTGCGCTTGGCCGTTATACTCTTGTGCTCAGACCGATCAGTCTTGCCTTCCTTGGCATGAGCAATCCGCTCCTCGCGCGTGGCCTTGCCGGCAGAGAGAGCAGCCAGGCCCTCGATCTCTTCGGCCGTCAGAGGATCGTCACGATCACGCTTCTTGGCGCCTGGCACGAGTGAGTTGATGGCGGCTTCATTGCGCAGCTCCTGGAGCTTGGCCAGGTCAGCCGGGGTGAGAATGCGAGTCGTTGCAAGCTTGGAGAATTTGGCCTCAGCAGACTCTTCCTTCGATTCTTCCTCCTTCTCCGCCTTATCATCACTGCTGCTTTCACTGGACTTGGCCTTCTTGGCAGGAGGTCCGTCTTTCTCGTCCTCGGAATCGCTGATGTCGATTTCAGCGTCGCTCTGCACATTGATCCAGTCGCCCGAGTCGTCGCTGTCCTCATCATCTTCCACATTCCAGGATGCCCAGTTGTCCTCCTCGCCTTCCTCCTCATCATCAGAAGCATCGGAAGCCAAGCCCTTCTCAGCTCTCCTCTTCCGGCGCTCCTCCTCCTTCCATTTCTCCAGGAGCTCCAGACCCTCGATGCCACCGGCCTCTTGTTCCGCGAAGCGCTTCTCTTTCCTCTCTCCAGCCTTAAGGCCAATGGAAGCGTCCTTGCCGCGGTCCCGTCTCTTGAGCATCTCAGGGTTAACCTCCCGGAACAGACTGAGCAGACCTCGACCCGCCATCATAACACCCTTATCCTTACTCTTGCGGTACATGACAAGATCCTGCAACAAGGTCTCATTCATGGCGAGTGGCTGTCGTGCGCAAATTTCTCGGATAGCGTTAAGACCGGCCGATGCGACCTCAGACGCTGAGGCTTCCGAGACGAACTCATTTGCGATCTTCTGAACCAAGGGCTCCAGGTCATCCGGGGGGACCAAGTCGTGGGATGCTTGCGCCAGCGAAGCCAAGAACGACGTGACGGATGGCTGACGGGGAGTCAGGAATTTCTGGAAGTAGGAGTAGAGGTGCATGATATGCAGTTTATGCAATCCGACAAGGCGGGTCACCAGCTGAAGCACCATAAGCTTTTGGTCCAAGTTGAGCTTGGACTTGGTGCTCTGCAAATGCTTCGAGAACAAGGACTCGGCGTAGCCCTGGGGATCGTGGAGAAGATGCAAAGCGGAGAAGTTCAGAGGATGCGGCTGGTTCTTCTTGCGCTCCCTCTTCTTTACGGTTGCCTTGGCCTTCTCAACCGCACGGGACTTCTTTCTGGTCTTCTTGTTGATGCCGACTTGATGCTTTACTCGCCCCAAGTCAATGGCTTCTTCGTCACTGCTCTCATCTTCCATTTCCTCGCGCTCTTTGTCACCACCCAAGAAGAAGCGAACACCGCCAACGATGACTTTTTCGTTCGATGCCAGACTGGCTTCCTTCATGACCTCAACAGCCTTGGCATCGGTCCAGATCTGGCGCTTCCACAGTTCGCGCGTAAGCTTGATAGCCCACAGGCCCTTAGAAGAAGTCCGGTCCGACGTCACCAAGTTGAACAGGACGGTCTGCATGGTGCGGTTAAGCTTGTGGTTCGTGGTCTTCGCATTGGCCTGACGAAGGTCCATGAGGATCTTTTGGAAGATCAGAGCTCGTAGGGTTTTGCTGGGGGTGGAAATAAGGATAGGGAACAGAGTCTGAAGCAATCTGGAGATATGATGCCAATTAGCAACCAGCCACATGCGCATCTGGCAGTCCATGGATAAACATACGTCGCCGAGTCCAACAATTCCTTCTTCCTCAGAAGCACCAAGCTACCGACGATCTTTTCGCGCAACTCTGGCTGAAGGATCAGATGGTGCTGGCTCAAGATATCCATGAGTTGCTGAGGGAAGTCCTTCGTAATCTCGGGGTAGCAGTCGGCCACATGAGCAATGAAGTCGATCAATTCTCGAAGAGATATCAGACCCGTCTCTGTGGTCGACGAAGGCGCGGTCATGAAAATTTCTCGGTGACTCTCATATTGGTAGTGCTGAGCGCGGAAGTCTTCAATGTAGGATCTTCACCAGTAAGCGACAATTAGCAAGCTATTCTGATATTATTGACATCTAATCGCATTGTTCAAAGTAAAACATACTTGGAATCTCTCCGAATCTTGTGCTGCAGGTTGGGCCTATGAGAAGCAGTGAGTTAGCGACAGGCGAATTTCTTCGTCTTGGGGAGGGGGTCCATAGCCACACAGCGACGGTACAAGATCACTTACAGATCAGCCTCGACCTTTTCCAAGGCTCCCAACTTTCTTTTCACCATCTTTGCGTATTATAGTGGTGAAACTGAGGGGATGAAGTGGGTGGTTGAGGGAAAAGAAAGGCGGGCGACGGTTGCCAGGGCCGATAACAGAGCCCCGAACATTTTTTTTCGCAGCGACGGGTCTGGCCTATCGATAAGCCGTAGCCAGCCCTTGGGACTTGCCAGCACGGGCACTTCTGCACAGGGATTCTGATTCTTATGGTCTCTGCAATATTAAGCGTTTACGGGTTGTAATCTACTGGAAATCTAGAACACTTTCTTTGTGCTCCTTGACATATTCATCAAGGTGAATTGTGTCTACGTTTGCGTAGTTCGTCGCCAGATCTGAGGTGGCAGGGGAACGATGGTTGAAACAGGGAAATCTTTTTCGTGTAAAAAAATAGATAAAGGTATTGACTTCACAAGCCAGAGGTCTTCATGATCGCATCTCAACTACTGTAGAAGAAAGCCGTCCGAT